TGGGCGGGGCCGCGGGGAAGGTGTGCCGGGGGCTGGTTGGGGGCGGGGCCGAGGCGCTGACGTCACGGGGAGGCGCGCGGGGAGGTGAGCGCCGCGGCGGGCGGGGGAGCTCACTCCGGGCTGCCAGCGCGGAGCCGCCCTGCCTCGACATCTCCCTGCGCGGCCGTCATGTCTCTACCGAGCAGCGTCCCGCGCCTCCTCCGCACGCAAGTGCACTCTGTCCTGAGCAAGTCTGTCCACTCCGTGGCGGTGATAGGGGCCCCGTTCTCACAGGGACAGGTGAGGACCTGGAGAAAGCGGCCGTGGGTGCGGGGACCCGGAGGCGAGGAGAGAATGGGGAAAACGGCGAGGGGACCCGGCGGGGTCCCGCGATTGGGCACCGGGAGAGCACGTGGGGTTTCCCCCGCAGAGTATGGAGGTGGAGGGAGGGTATCCTGTATGGGATGGAGGGCGCTCTGTTTGGGTGAGGTAGTCCTGTATGGGATGGAGGGCGCCTTGAATGGGGTGAGGGAGCCCTCCATGGGAGGGAGGGAGGGAGGGCGCCGTTTATGGGGTTGCACCGCCCTGTACCGGGTGAGGGCACCCTGTATGCGGTTAGCGCGCCCTATATGGGATGGAGGGCTCCCTGTAAGGGGTGAGGGAGGTTTCCGTGGCCTCCCCACGAAGAACGAGAAGACGGGGGTCCGGCCTGGGGTGCTGGAGCGAGGGCAAGGGGAAGCGAGTCCTGGGAGGCGCTGGAGGGGGCGAAACCGGCCGGAACCCCCGTGGAAACTCGCCAGCGCTACGAAGGGTTGGAGCTGCAGGACCCTCTCCCGAAGGAGCACCGGCTGCGAGAGCCGGCGCGGCCTTCGGCGCGGGAGGACGGCCGGCCGTTGTGTCCTCTTCGATGGAAGAGACCGGGTGGAGCAGCGGCTCCGGCCCCGCCCGGGGTCCTAAGCTGGGGCAGCCCCGGCTGTGCCGTGGCTGGGGAGCGTGACTTGATCCCGGCCACGGAGATGCTTCCCCCTCCTCCCTGCGCATGTCTGATGATGACCAGGCCCTAGAGCTGGGAGGACAGTTCTAGGTGGAGGGGCTGATGCGGCACAGGCTCTCAGAGGAATCTGCTGGGAACCACGTGTAGTGCAGCGGACTGCTGTGTTTTTGTGAACAGTTTCCCCGCCCAGTCACCTTCCCTCACATCTAACCGTGTAATTTGTGTAACTGACAGAAAAGAAAAGGCGTGGAATACGGCCCAGCTGCCATAAGAGAAGCCGGCTTGATGAAGAGGCTTTCCAAGTTGGGTGAGTGGCGGGATTTTAGAAGTCGGTGGGGGACGAGTAACAGACTGCCTCGAAGCAAGCTCTGCTGTCCAGGGACCACACCGTGTCAGCTGTGTATGTGAGGACAGTCTGCTGCGTCTCCCATCCTCCCTGATTCCGCCTGCGGCTATCAAGGAGTCTTCAGGGAAAGTCTTGCTGCAATAAAGAGTGTGTGGAAGGCAGGGAGGCGGAGGGAGGAAGGCCTGGCAATGCTGCTGGTGGTTGCAGAGTGGCACTAAGCACCGGTTCCAGCTCTTGAGGGCACAGTCGACCCTTCCTCCTGTAAACCCATCCCTCTTCACTCAGTTATGAGATGCTGGTGATTCACCAGTCTCATCATTTCCTCTCTCTACTCATTTCCTCTCTAGGGTTGATTACTGGAAGCAGGGCTTAGAGCTGTGTTTTTTTTTTTTTGAGTTGGAGTCTCACTCTGTCGCCCAAACTGGAGTGCAGTGGCCGCTCCCAGCCACCGCAGCCTCGACCTCCTGGGCTCCAGGCGATACTTCTGCCTCAGCCTTCCAAGTAACTGGAACTACAGGCATGCGCTACCACGCCCGGCTGATTTTTTGATTTATTGTAGAGATGAGGTCTCGCCAAGTTGCCCAGGCAGGTCTCGAACCCTCGGGCTCAGGCAATCCACTCACCTCAGCCTCCCAAACTGCGGGATTACAGGCTGAGCCACTGAACCCGGCTAGAGCTGTGTTTCAAATTTACCTGATTATGAAAATTACCTGAGTTACTTGTTCAAAATACAGATTCCTAGGCTCCATGGGCGAGTCTGGCTTATTGGGCCTGAGAAGGAACCCAGTTATGTGCATTTTTACAAACACCTCAGGTAATCAGAAGTAAAATTGCAGTCTTGTGCTTAAAATAGTACTCTGAGCTTTTAGAACTGGAAGTAAAGCCGGGCGTGGTGGCTCAGCCTGTAATCCCGTGCCTTTGGGAGGCTGAGGTGAGTGGATTGCCTGAGCCCGAGGGTTCGAGACCTGCCTGGGCAACTTGGCGAGACCTCATCTCTACAATAAATCAAAAAATCAGCCGGGCGTGGTAGCGCATACCTGTAATTCCGGCTACTTGGAAGGCTGAGGCAGAAGGATCGCCAGAGCCCAGCAGGTTGAGGCTGCAGTGGCTGGGAGCGGCCACTGCACTCCAGTCTGAGCGACAGAGTGAGACTCCAACCAAAAAGAAAACAAAAAAACTGGAAGTAGATCTGACCCAAAGATAACTGCCATCTCTATAATAAAGAACCTTTCTTTTAGTAAAAGCATACCAAGTTTCAATACCTTTTTGATAGGAAGGGTCTTCTTTATATTTCACCCAAATGTTTCTGGAGGCTGCTCAGGCCATTTGCTCAACTTATGTTAGGACTATTCACACATCTTTTCTGGTGCTGTAAGTGCAGTGTGAGGCAGCAGGGAGACCCTGGAGATGGAATACAGAATCTAGGTGAGCTACAAAGCCCCTCCTCACTCTTGCTCTGGAATCTGCTCTGCTGATCATGAGTCCATTTCAAGGGACATCATCTCCTTCCAAAACACAGAAGAAAAATGAAGTCACTGCAATCTCTGAGCTGAGGGATCCTTCATATACCTTCAACTACATATGGATATGGTGACTTGGATTGAATACTCAAAATTAACTTCCCTGTTAAATAGTGTCTTTTTTAAAATCACACTTTTTTCCCTTAGAGACAGGATCTCACTCTGTTATGCAGACTGGAGTGCAGTGGTGCAGTCACAACTCACTGCAGCCTTAAACTCTTGGGCTTAAGAATAAATCCTCCAGGCGGGCTCGGTGGCTCAGCCTGTAATCCTGCGCCTTTGGGAGGCTGAGGCGGAAGGATCGCCGGAGCCCAGCAGGTCAAGGCTGCAGTGGCCAGGACCGGCCACTGCACTCCAGCCTGGGTGACAGAGTGAGACTCCAACAAAAAAAAAAAAAAAAAAAAGAATAAATCCTCCCACGTAGCTGGGACTAGAGGTGCTCCTCACCATGCCTGGCTAACTTAAACATTTTTTGTGTATAGACAGGGGTCTTTCAGTGTTACCCAGACTAGGCTCAAACTCCTGGACTCAAGCAATCCTCCTCCTTGGGCTCCCAAAGTGCTGGGATTACAGGTGTGAGCCACCATCCCCAGTTTCTTCTTCAGTAAGTTCTCTTTCATAGTCATTTTACTAACTCTCCAAGTTCACCACCAATGATGAAAGATAAGCTGCTAAGATTAAATCTTTTAATGTGTCACAAGTCACCTAACGGGAGGAGGTTTTTATTCCTGTTTATGAGTCTACTGTCTTTTTTCTTTTTTTAGTTGGAGTCTCATTCCGTCACTCAGGCTGAAGTGCAGTGGCACTCTCAGGGCCACCCCAGAGTTAATCTGCGGGGCTCAGGCGATCCTTCCACCTCAGCCTTCCAAGTAGCTGGAACTACAGGCATGTGCTACCAAGCCCGGCTACTTTTTTGAGTTGTAGAGATGAGGTCTCCCCATGTTGCCCAGGCTGGTCTCAAACCTGCAGGCTCAGGCAATCCACTCACCTTAGCCTTCAAGTGCTGGGATTACAGGCTGAGCCACCAAGCCGGGTGCTGTCTCTTAAAATAGCTCGTACACACTCTGGCTTTTTAAAAGAATCATTTTACACTGAAGACAACAATCTCTGGTAATCACTATTTTTAAATGCCAGATAAATCTCTGCAGCTCATCTGATGAACTGAGCCAGGCATTGCTCAAATTGCTCTGCTGTCTCTAGATCCTGCCTTAAGAGGCTCCTGACAAGAGGCAGTTTTAGCCTTTCACAGAGGAGACCTTCATGATATTCAGCTGAGGCTGCTGAATGAGGGGGGAGGGGCACATGGATCACAGCTTCCTTTACTCAAGGCTGGTAGACCTCCTTTCAGAGCATAGCTCTTGGTATTTTTCCACTCCAACCCGAGAGGCCATTCTCTTTTAAATATTATTCCCTCTACTGCTTCCTCGTTAAACTCCCAACCTGAGGTGATGGTCTTTCCTTTCATTTTTTCCAAATATCTTTAGTTATACACTTATATCCTTACCTGGTCGCTGATTGGCAGCCCAGTATCACCAGCAGTCTGAAACAGAATCTCATTGCATATTCAATAAGATTGTGACACTCAGCAGATTTTTAGCATGTGGCTTTGGCTAATCTCCTGGAATATGCTGGAGAAAAGTACAGTTTCAGTTGCTCTATTCCTAAACAAAACCAAAATAACTGAAGTCCTCCACTTTCAAATCAGCAGCACGGGTGGAATTTCAAGGGTGAGAAGACCCATGGAAAGGTAATTTCACAACTCCTTTTGTTCCTTGCGTTTGCTCTGATGTCACAGGCTGCTGGTGTTGCCATGACACCAGTTAAATTTCCTGTTTTCTTGAATATATTTGACTTAGTGTCTGGGCTTATGTGTCGTTGTCCGTGTCCAACACCCCCCCCCAGAATTAGAAAACACATTCAATGGTAAAACCATTGATTTTAGTGTATAAAGAGGGTTTAGGAGAATGAAGAGGCATTGCTCTGGTAAGGCTCAGAGGCATCCGCTCCTGGTTCTGGTCATCTCTGATAGCTGTGATCATTTGTCCTTTTCTCTCCAGAAGTAGAATGAGGCCAGGCTCGGTGGCTCAGCCTGTAATCCCAGCACTTTGGGAGGCCGAGGCGAGTGGATTGCCTGAGCCCGCGGGTTCGTGACCTGCCTAGGCAACTTGGCGAGACCTCGTCTCTACAATAAATCAAAAACTAGCCGGGCGTGGTAGCCCGTGTCTGTAGTTCCAGCTACCTGGAAGGCTGAGGGCGGAAGGATTGCTGGAGCCCAGCAGGTCGAGGCTGCGGTGGCCAGGAGCGTGCCACTGCACTCCAGTCTGGGCGACAGAGTGAAACTCCAACTCAAAAAAAAAAAAAGTAGAGAGAGTGTTCTGTGAGTAAAGATAGCTGTAAGCTGCTGTTCACACTTGGGGGTCTCTGGTTTTGTAATTATGATCATTTGACCCAGCTATGGTACTGAAAAGGCAACAGCCACAGGGACAGCTGTCTAAATGCTCTTGCCTTCGTGACCCACCTGGGCAACTTGGTGAGACCTCATCTCTACAATAAGTCAAAAATTAGCTGGGCGTGGTAGCGCGCACCTGTAATTCCGGCTACTTGGAAGGCTGAGGCGGAAGAATCGCTGGAGCCCAGTGGTGGCCAGGAGCAGCCACTGCACTCTAGTCTGGGCGACAGAGTGAGACTCCAACTCACACACACACACACAACATAAATAAATAAATAAATAAATAAATAAATAAATGCTCTTGCCACTGTGACAAGGGTCCTGGAGTTCAGGAAGCTATTTGGGAACTACCCTGGTTCCCTTTAACTAAACTAAGGACATTTGTTCTTCCTGTTAGACTGGAAAACAGAAATCTCTGGTTGAAACTGGTTGAGACTCAAGGATCTGATTTGCTTTTGTAAGCGCTGCTGGTAGAGGGGAGGGCCTGAGACAGTTTAAACATAAGGATGCTTGGTGTGAGAGCTGCTCACTTGCAGTGGATGGGTATGTGAACTCAGGCATCTATTTGCTTTCAGCGGTTGGTAGAGAACATTAGGAATCACAAGTTTAATTACATGTCAGTGATGCTTTGGCTCACTGTCCCTCCTACCTTTCTATTGAAACTACCTTGAGGCTGGGCTTGGTGGCTCAGCCAGTAATCCCAGCACTTTGGAAGGCCAAGGTGAGTGGATTGCCTGAGCCCATGGGTTCAAGACCAGCCCCGGCAACTTGGCGAGACTTCGTCTCAACAACAACAACAAAAAGTTAGCGGGGGTGTGGTAGTGCGCACCTGTAGTTCTGGCTACTTGGAATGCTGAGGCGGACAGATCACAGGAACCCAGCAGGTTGATGCTGGGGTGGCCATGAGCGAGCCACTGCACTCCAGCCTGGGCAATGGAGTGAGACTCAGATTCCAACTCAAAAAAACAAAAAAACAAAAAAACTCACTGATT